TGAGCTCAGAACCCAAGGGACCACATCCTAAGACACTGAAAGAACCAACAGATGTGACTGCTGGGATCTTTGAAAGATTACAGAGAACAGTAAAATGGTTACAGGACTGGGAAGGGGCAAATATTGTCCTGGTTTCCAAAGAAGGGAAGAGAATTGAACTCAGACTAGAAGCCAGGGGGCTGAACCACAATTTCTGGCAAAATTGGAGAACATATAAGTAGAAGGACAGTCGGTGAACACGTAGAAAAGAAAGCAGCGATGACAAAGTCAGCCTGGCTTTATTGAAAACAAAGTAGGCCAGACTCCAGTTGTTTCCTTTTTTAAAAGAGTTTTACTAAGATGGCAGTCGAGAGGAGTGGCGCAGGTACAGTTTGTGTAGGTTCTAGCAAAACATTTGACAAAGTCATGTTTTTCTTGCAGACACGATGAAGCTATGTGGGCCAGAAGAGAAGTACCATGAGTTGGATGTCACTAATGGCTGGCCAGGCCCAGTCATGAATAGTTTAATATGAACTGAGAATGTAGGCTCTAGTGGAATGTCCCCAACTGAGTGGCCCCACATACATTCTCTGCTCCTGGGACCTAGAGAGGCTGTGACAACTCCCCCCACAGGCTGGAGCCCTGCAAGGCAGGGCTCTGGGTCCAGTCTCCACATCCAAAGACCTGGAGCTGCAATGATCTCTCATGCGCTGTGTTCTTAGAACCTTGAGTAACCATTGCCTAAGAATGATCCTCTCTTCAGTGGGCAAGCCACTGAGAAACCCCCAAGTCAGTAGCTGTGCCTCTACCTGGAGGTCATGGGGGAATCTGCCAGAACTTTCCCACCACTTGCACAGCTTTGGAGAATCCAGAACCACACCACAGTATTGAAAGAGAACAGTTACATAAAGTTTTGCCTCTTCTTACAGTGTCTTATTCTATAGAGAAAGTGAGAGAATCAAATTGATTCTATTGAATCTATCTTGCAATTGACTTCATTTTGTATTTCTCCAAGCTTTTGTATAACTGCTTAAGTCACTAAGTCATCTGTCTCTGAATTAAGTTCAGAAGTCCAGTCTTCCTCTCTAAGTTATGTTTAGAAGTTCAGTTTCCTTATAAATCACTTTAATTAAAAGAAACCTATTATCTCTATACCACTAGATGTCTTTCAAGGAAGCCTGGTCCATTATTTCTGTACCACTAAGCAGCCATGCAAGTGATAGAATCAATTAGAATTTCCTAGTGACAAGATGAGAGGAGGGGTTGCTAGCATGATGCTTCTGACTTGATAACCATTTGTATTGTTTTCCCCATTTATGGTACTGCCTTCTGGCTTTTGGTTGCACCTCCTTTTGTCCACAAAATAATCTGTCAGCCATCATTCAGGGTCTTTTGGCTTGCTGAGGAGATCTTTTTTATTGGCAACTACTAGCCTTACCAATAAATTGAATGTGCTCAGAACTTTGTAACCTCAATTTACCTTAATTTCAATGGTGACAACGGGAAGGGAGAGAGGAAGGTATATATCTATAATGGGGTTCCATGGCCATGATGGATTGGGAAAATGGAACTCACTGAAACTGAGATTTTGTGGGTTTGGACCCTTGAGGCTGGTATGGATAGAGGCAAGTGAAAAGATATGTTAGGGAAGGCTACAGCCAGTAGGTAAATGGTCTGGGCAGAGGCTTAGATGGGGGGGGGAGCAGTTTTACCATATTCTGTTCATGCTGCTTGGAAGAGCAGAGAGTCCTCTGTTACAATTCAGTCAGTAAGATAGTGGACCACTGAGCCCCAGGGTCCACTTTGCCTTTATGCCCTGGACCCCAGGCTCCATTGCATCTGACCTGCTGTTTTTGCATTCTTAAGAATTCGGGGGGGGGTTGTCATTCCATCTTTCTTGTTGCTGCTTCCTTTCCACCTGCCTTCCAACTCTTCTGCACCTGAACCTCCTCCCTCGTCCACCCCCAGCTTTGCTCTCCAACCTAGTGCTCTACGATGAGGAATCGTGGCATCTGTCATCTTCCCAGACCAGGAACCCTAAAGACCTTGCCATATGAACCCCCCTGTAGGTTGTCTCCCCAATTAGAATGGGAGCTCCTTAAGAGCAGGCTTGCCTGGCTTTTCCTGTGGGATCTCCTGTGCTTGGCACACAGTAAGTGTTTAATAAATGCCTTTCCATCTTATTTTGTAGAATGGTGCTGTTATTTGTGGCTGATCTCAAGGCTATTCAAGGGAAGAAACGAGATCACAAGAGCAGGTTGGGTACACACACACTGTACATGAGTTAGCACACATGCTCATACAGAAGTATACATGGGCATGCAATGCACATAAGCACACACATGCATGACAAGTACATATAATGAGCACTCATACATATGCATGTGCTCACACATATGCATGTGAGCACATGTGCATGCATACACATATCCATGCACACTCACACAAACACTCTTCCACATTCTGCTGAACACATTTCTAAGATCCCAACTGTTCCAGGGCTCCCAGTGACAGGTACCAATCACTAGGACAAATGGAGCCAGTCACTTAAAAGGGAAGGGCAAAGGAAAGGCACTGGAAGATGTTTTTGGGGTGATCTGGAAAGCCCTCTGGAAAGCATGAGGGCAATGGACCTCCAAAAGGAGACAATACAGGCCCCAAAATACAGTCTATGGTTAATCCAATTGTGCCAAATGGGGCACAGCTTGCCCATAGCTACGAACATTCCAAAGAGTTGACCAACAGAGCCTCATCAAGGATGAGCCAGGTTTGGAGAGCCAGAGCTGGAATTATTGGTGACATAGATGCTCAGAGAGGGCAAGGGCTCTGGCCCAGATCACACAGCCTGGCAGAGACTGAGCCACCACCTTATGAATAGCAGACCTGCTACCCTCCCAGTCCTAGTGGCCTTGCCTGAGCAGCCATCCTGAGACATGGTCCACATAGTATAGCTATGGCTTTGTCATCTTCTTACTTTTCTGGAAGACTCATTTCCTCAGCCATTAAGGGCTGAGATCTTAATATTTTAAGAGAGAATATTAGTTCTTGACTTCAAGAAAGTAATTCTTGGAGGTTGGAACCCCCCTGGCCCTGGGAAAGAGATGAGGAAGTGCCCCCTCTTTCCCTTGGAGAGATGGGGGCCTCATGGGTGATGAAGGTGCGTAGATAGTCATACACAATTCCTCTGCTGGTTTTCAATAATAGCTAACATTTATGTAACACTATGTGCCAGGCACTGTGCAAATCACTTTACAGTTATATCTCCTCTGATCCAAACAACCAAGTTAGGAGGGAGGGGCTACTATCCCCATTTTACAGATGAGGAAACTGAGGCAGACAGAGGTGGAGTGACTTGCCCAAGATTACCCAGCTAGTAAGTGTTTAAGGCCAAATTTGAACTCGGGTGTTCCTGACTCCCAGTCCAGTGCTCTGTGCTCTGTGGCGCCTCTTAGCTACCTATTTGTCTTTATTATGGGGGTGGGGTGGGGAATGGCTTTGCTTACCTAAAAGTAACTGCCAAATAAACAAAAGGCATCAATAAAACTAAGTTTTTGAATGGACAATAATGACTTCTGAAAGACTGACGATCAGTTCTAGATCGCTGCACCTTGGGCTCAGAGGAAAGCACAAGAAAGGACCGCCGAGGAAGCAGGCCCCCTCCCCCATGCCGTGCTCCTCTGCAGGAGCCAAAGCTGGGGTTTCCTCCCAGTCCCAGGCCTTTTAGGAAGGACCTGACACTCACGCCTTAAGCCAGGGGATTGTGTGGCTGGGATGTACCATCTCCCCATGAGCCTGTATCTCCCCCAGCCACAATAAATTCACCCTTTCGAAAGCTATTCGTTATCTCCCCTCCAATGGGTGCCTTCCCCCCAAATCCTAAAAAAGCACCTGAAAGTCCTCTTCAATTTGTATCTAAGCAGTGGTAGGATCATAATGTTGAAAGGCACCTTAGAGGTCTAGTCTAATCCCTTCATTTTACAGATGAGGAAACTGAAGCTCAGAGAAGTAAAGGGACTTTCCCAGGGTCACACAACTAGAATCTTTGAGGTAGGATTTGAACTTGTCTTTCTGATTCCAAGTTCAGTGTTCTATCCACTATGATATCTAGTAGTCTCTATCTCTGTGTCTCTCTTCCCCCTTCTCTCTCTCACTGTCTCCTGTCTCTCTGTCTATCTGTCTCTGTCTGTATATCTCCCTCCTCTCTCTCGCTCTCTCTCCCTGTTTCTCCCCCCATCTCTCTCTAGCTCTCTCTGTGTCTCTGTCTCTCTCTCCCTCTCTTTCTCCCTCTTTCTCTCCTCTCTCTTTCTCTCTCTCTTTCTCCCTCTCTTTCTCCATCTCTTTCTCTCTATCTCTTTCTGTGTCTCTGTTTCTCTCTCTCTCTCTCTCTCTCTCTCTCTCTCTCTCTCTCTCTCTC